ATCTGAGAGCGCCAAGCAGTGCAACAATTAGGCTAAAGCTAAAGCTAAAGCTAAAGCTAGTCATGCAGCACCCTGGTTTACTTTAGCAAACTGAACCTTTACTGTTTTTTTTGCATATGATTAACATCAAATACAGATTTGGGAGTTGTTCTTAACATACTGATATATATATGGATGGATGGATGGATGGATGGATGGATGGATGGATAGATAGATAGATAGATAGATAGATAGATAGATAGATGGATGGATATATAGATGGATGGATGGATGGATGGATGGATGGATGGATGGATGGATGGATGGAGGGATATATAGATGGATAGATAGATGGATATATGGATGGATAGATATTGATAATTTTTTAACCATTTTACAAATACTTAATCCTCTTTTGTATCACAGAAGAATTATCACCCAGTTAGAAACACTGTATGGATTTCTGATTTTTGTCTGTTTTTAAGTATTTATTAAATCCGTAAAAAGATAATTGAACGAGGTCGACTCCACAGACATCACGCCAATCACGTCACAGCGTTTTCAAGTCAATGAAACATTCTCCAACTGGAAGAAAAGCATACAGAACTCGTACCTCTTTATCAGCCTTGCCTACTTTAGACTCCAGGTCGTATCTGTCTTCATCCACTTTGTCAACGAGAGCGGCCAACTTTTTGCAGGTTTCCTGGTTAAACAAACAGGAGAACTGGTTGATAACTGAAAACAAGCCTCCTCTACTGACACACATAATAATGTATAAAAGTTCAACTGCGGATTGCTTTTCGAAGCTCCATCGTAGGACCACAGAGGGGAGAGGACTGTGCATTGCCTTTAGTTTAGTTTAGTTTTATTTGGATCCCCATTAGCTGCTAAATAAATGGCCACTAGTCTTCCTGGGGTCCTCACATGAAGAAATGACATTACATTATGAACGAACCATTAAAAAAAACACATTTGGAAATAATAGGAACATGAAAAAGAAATATACAACATATATACACAGGTCAGTTCATCATATCATATTTGTCAGTCTAAATGAAGTTACAGCCACCTCCCACATCATTTTGAATTTGGTCTCGCTTCAGATTTTACTCAAAGAAAGATATTTTTTCCCCTTCAGGTCTGCCACATTGTGCCTCCAGTAAATCCTCTAGAGAGAAATCCACCAGGAAAGCTCAGGCTGGACTCTTTAACAATATCCGAACCAATACCACAACAAGAAAGTTTAACGAACATTTCATATATTCAGTTTAGCTCCGTTTATAGGAGCTCAGCTTTGCCTTATTGGAATAAACCGATCAGTTGATCTGACAAGCCATCGAATTCTTAAGAGAAAATAAATCCTTGGTCATGAACTCTGAGCTCACCATGAGGGTCGCCTGGTCTCCAGCCAGATCGGGGCCTGGGCAGTTCTGAGACATGTAGGCCTCTTTAGAAGAAACAAGGTCCTTTTTCTCCTGTTCAAGCCAGGTCGCCGCAATCGACAGGATCAAGCTCTGCGGGGAACACGACAAGTTAAAGGAGACATATTATACCCTATTTCAACAAGTTAAGCTAGTTCCCTGGTGTCCTAATGTGATGTCTGTGACAAGCTTTGGTCAAAATCCCATAAGGATGAAGCCCAATAGCAGTTCAGTCCCCCTGCCTAACCCTAACCCTAAAGGCTTTGGAGTGCCTGTCTCTTTAAATGCAAATGAGACACGCAATCCGCCCACTTCTTCAGGGAGGTGTGCCCACGTCGGCACACTAACGCTACCATGCTAACGCTACCATGCTAACGCTCACGCTACCACGTCGTCTCCACAGATAGTCGGAGTAAGCTGAGGGGGGGGGGCAACATGCAGGTGAAAGGCTGGAATATTATAATGAGCTAGAGCTAATGACGTCAGAAACTACCCACTCCTGAAACCTCCTGATTTATCTCCTGGATTCAGACTGAGGCAGCCCACAAAAACATGACCGAGTAATTTTTTTCCACACTTTGCCTGCTGATAAGCCCTCCACAGTCCCAAATGTACATAATCAAATGATTAAAAACTTGGTTTTGCATAATACGTCCCCTTTAAAGGTGTCTCTGGAGGGAAAAAATGAGCAGTTCAAAGTTTCCTTTTCGATAAAGCTGATAGTTAGAGAGGCTCAGTGACCCTGAAACATCCCATAGTTCTGCTGGGGGGCTCCCATGATGCACCTCTGCTGGGGGATTTCAACTTATTTTGAGGTATTTAAAAGAGAAATACAAAGTACCATGTCACTTTTTTTTAAGTTAGTGTTGCATGAATTGCACCAAAACACGATTCGTTGACAAATGTTTCCAGAAATGTGAAAAGTGCCCATTGAGTATTGTGTTCTCACACGTTATTTTCATAGGTTAGACCATGTTTTCCAGAACCCAAAACCACCACAAATCAGTCTATCCAGTTTCTGAATGACACAACTCTGTACGGGCTCTGCTCTTTCTTTTGTAAGAGACATTTGGGACCACAAGGGGGCACCAGAGAGCTTAAAACGACCCTTTAATGAGCACAAACACACACACACACACACACACAAGCATTTTCACAGATTTAGGAATTGAATTA